TATTGTTGATGTGTTGTGAGATTGTTAACCATTGTCATAGGGCAACATTTGTAGTAATTGTTAAATGAGAAACTATTTTGTTCTGTAAGCCTTCACCTGAAGTACAATAAAATATTAAAAACAAACAAACAAACAAAAAACTAGAGACTCATTCATATATCACACAATAGTGTACTAAAACATTAAAGAGAAACCTCCCCTCGGGGTTTGGATATACACTTGAGGGATTAAAAATATCTGACAACTACTGGTCCCCTTCAACGGTATTTTTATACCCTCAAACATTCTTCTTATATGGATAACACAAATTATAGGCAAGGCTAACGACATTGCAATAATGTCAGGATTTCTTAACAGATAAAGTCATCATTCAGCAAGGGAAAAGAAAACTCAAGTACCAAAAGTATGGGAAAGAATGTTAGGGGAAAAGAAAAATGTGCAAAAGGGTAAATGTGAAACATAAAACTCTGAATGAAGATGCAGTACATTTTTGCCTCAGCATCACGGTGGAGCCAGCGTGATCAGCAGCCTCAACGGTTCTCTAACGTTTGAAAGAATACACAGGGCCCTGAGGCATCTGGATAAACAATTTGAGCTCAGTTGTACTTAGAATTGTATAACCACCACCCGGTGCTAAAGATAAAAAATAGAAGCATTATAACCTGGTGAAGCTGAAAAAGTGATCTACACTGCTTCAGTGCCCCGGAGAAGTGCCCCTGCGAAGAGACCTCCTGCAAAGTCAGCAAATGAGCTAGAAAAAAACTGTAACCAGTTTGAGCCTGAAAGCAACTCAGCACCTTGCCCCAAAGCAAGTTCATTGTGCCCATTATTTTACTAATTATGCCAGTGTTCAAACAATGTTGAAGATTCACAGAACTTCAGAGACTTCAAAGCTGGAAGAGGACAGGAGATCATCTAATGTAATCTCAGTAGACAACATTTTACTCATATCTACTACCACTTTGCAGCTGTGTGAATCTGGGCAACTTATCTATTTCCTAAGCCTTAGTTTCCTGATCTACAAAATGGGGAAAAAAAATATAAATAATTAAATATGATGAAAGTAATAAATTAGTAATAAAAAATGCATATAAAGTTAATTTCTGATATGAGAAAGAGCCACTGAATATTCTACAGGAACTTTCATAATCTTCCCCTAACTTATGTTAATAGGTGCCACCTGGGAACTGTCTTGGTACTCAGACAAGTTCAAGAACAGCGGTCACAGGGATAAGATTTGCCTTCCAATCCAGAACAGTAACAAACTGAGTTGTAGGGTATGATGGTTCACCCAAAATTTAAAAAAAAAAAAGCATCATATAAAAGCATACTACAGTATTAAGGAGCCCTGGTGGTCCAGTGTTTAAGTGCTTGGCTGCTAACTGAAAGGTCAGTACTAAGTACTCCGTACAGTAGCTTTTAATTAAGATTGTTATCAGAATAAAAACAAAAAACCAATACAGATATGTCTTACTTTAAAAAGTAATAAACACAAATTCAGTTCAATTTGACAAACATTTATTTTCTATGGGCAAAGTGAGGAGCCCTGGTAATGCAGTGGTTAAGCGCTTGGCTGCTAGCCGAAAGGCTCGTGGTTAGAACCCAGCAGTTTCTCCGAGAAAGATGTGGCAGTCTGTTCTGTAAAGATTTATAGCCTTGGAAACAATGTGTGGCAGTTCTACTCTGTCCTATAGGGTCACCATGAATCAGAATCGACTCAATGGCAACAGTCGAGAGCTCGCAAGAAAGGTTAACAAGTAAATAACCCTGGTACTAGTCCTTGGAGCCCTGGTGGCACAGTGGTTAAAGATCTCAGCCGCTAACCAAAAGGTCAGAAATTCGAATCCACCAGCCTCTCCTTGGAAACCCTACGGGCCAGTTCTTCTCTGTCCAATAGGGTCACTACATGTCATAATTGACTACGTGGCAATGGGGTTTTTCTTTTTTTTTCCAACTAGTCCTGAGGAAGTACATATACAATTTAGTGAGAAATATAGATAGGTAACAACCAGCAAGGAGAATGCAATTACCAAAAAACACAAACAAACAACATACTTAGGGGGAAGGAGGATAATCCAAGATGGCTTCAGTAGGAAGGTAGCACTTGAGCTGCGCCTTGAAAGATGGAACGATAAGCAGGATTTTGATTACTACTAACATAAATGTCATCCTATTTTCTTTGGAGTTTATATATTTTCTTCAACAAATTATTAACTTTATGAAAATCAGTTTTTCACAGTACTTTTTCGAACATATTTTATACTTTTACCTTACCGCATGTAAGTTATAACACAAAAAATGAAAGAAAAAAACATGTATTGTAAAAATGAAAACGTTCATGTTAAAGTCAAGAAGAAGTACACTCTATATTTGGGGGGAAAGGCCAAGTATATAGTGGTAGAGAAATAAGAGAAGAACTGGGGTGCTCCGTATCAACTCTGTCATAAAAAGACGGAAGTTACAGGGGAGGGGAAAGACCTATAGCAAAAGAGCACTGTTGTTTATAGGTATGTAATGCTGCTTTGAAGAAGGTTCAAAGATGAGCATTGAACAATGAGAAGCACTTTAAACAGATAAGCATGATGAAGACAAGAGTCAGAGAAGAACAAGCGAAGTGAGACAGTCTTGAACTCCCTGGAGAAATATTTGGTGAAATGAAGACTTGAGATTTATCTAAAGGTCATAAAAGTGAAGTTTCCAAAGCATGCTCAGGAGTGAAGGGGCATTACTGAAATGACAAAAGCTGAAAATGATTATTTTGATAATCCCTACTTCCTCTCGATTTTTATTAAAACTATCCTTTCAGGGCCCAACTCAAATCCTACCTACCCTTGGTGAAGTTTTTTTCTAATCACCCTACTGAAAATGACACTTCCTCTTCTTACAGCACTTGTTGTTCGAACCTCTCACCTGGCACTTAGCACAGATTACCTTGCACAGTTAGTTCTCACTAAATCAGATCAATAAATATTTATGTCTTATCTTCTCAGTGAGATTTCTTAAGGGCAGTGGCAAATACTTACTGAGAACTGCTATGAAAGACACGATGGGGGAATACCAAGGAAAACCAGACAGATTCTGCCCTCCTGAAAATTAAGCTGGTACCAAATTTACAAAACAGTGAAGTTATTTAAAATCTACTAGACATTATTTTAAATGTGGTACAATTATGATGTAATGGAATTATTCTTTATCCCCAAATTAATGTGATCTAAGAGATTCATCCTTTACCCCAAACTGCTTTCACTATACTTTTTCCTTTACTTCATTTACTTTACATTGAAATGCATCAGTTAAAAATCATGAATGTCTAAGTCTTTTAAAAATAAATTTTAAATTTTATAGACTACATTAATTTTAATCAATAAAAATGCAAGCTATTTATTACTATTAAGATCTCACCAAGAAAACCTTCCATATTGTTTATTTTCATTAAGTTCATTACAATGGCATAAAAACTTCCTAAATTGCCTTAAAACATCCCCCAGAAATGTTTTTTACACAGCTCTTTCTTGTATGTAGTAGGAATAAGGAATTTTTTTTCCCTGACTGTTGCACTGCCCCTCAAGTTATCTAATAAAGACTCTTAAGGATACCCAAAGATGAGTGATATATGGATGTAATTTGTGTAATCAATCACTTACTGGTGGCAATTATGTTGTTTCTAGGTTATTACTCTGAAAAAAATACTGTGTTGAACACCCTTGAACATGTTTCTCTGTGCACGCACTTTATTAAGTTCACAGGATGAATTCCTAGGAGTAGAATCTCCTCTTGAGGAAACTGCAGCATCTTTTTAGAGTTTGCTCCTTAGCCCCTACGGGTGTGGTGACAAGTTATAAGACCTTCCCCATTTCCTCATTCCCAGACTCACCAAATCTTAAACTAATCCCAGACTCTATGGCTGGGAAATTAGAATTAGAATGTAAATAAAAATTACACTCTTTTGAACGCTTGTATTGGAAGGTGGTGTAAAACTAAACCTGAGGCACCCATATTTAGGCCAAGTGTATAATGAAGCAGAGAAAGCTGTTTTATAGAGAAAAGAAAAAGGCAAATAGGACAGAAAGTAGCAGACATAAAACATCATATGGTAGCAAGGACTGAAGAGAGTAATTTCAATAACTATAAGTGACTTTCCAGCTCTAAAAATTGTCACCGATTTTATGAATATAGAAGTTGTAAAATATAAATATATAAAATCAAAATCACCCATAAGCCCTTCACAATACTGCTAATATTCTCATATATTTCCATTTAACATTTAAAATCAATTTAGAATCATACTATAATTTTAACATGTACATCACTGAATACTGATTTTTTTCCCACTTGGCATTATCACATGAGCATTCATCCAATTTAATAATCTTTGAAAATACCATTTTAATGGCACCATAATAATCCACCAGATGATAATCACTTTATTTAACCATTTTCTTATTTGTAGACATATTACATAGTATAACCACACTGTTTTCCAGAATTGTTGGACCAATTATACTTCTATTTAGAGAGTGTAAAGGTGATTGTTTCACACTATAGCCTTAGTAACACTGAAAAATATTATTTAAGAGATGAAAAATAATATATCAATGTTTTAATTTGCATTTCTTTGAGTTACTGAACTTTTCTATATTTTTTATTAATTTTTATGTTTATTAATGGCATATTCTCTTTTGTGAAATGTATATTCAGATTATCTAACTACCCTGAGCCTTAATTTTCTCATCAGCAGATTAGACACAATACCTATTGCTGTGATGATGAAATACTGTAAAAATAAATGTTAGTTACCTTTTAAATATTTTATTTTATAATAAAGTAAAACAGTTTTATTTTAACAAGGTGAAACAGTTTAGAAAAATGCATATTCTATAATAATTTGTTAGAAAAAACAATAACAGATTCACTGGAATTACATGTAGTCTAAATTTTTTTGAAACAATTTTTCTAAGACCCATCTGTGAAGATTATAGTTGTACATCATGATAAACAACAATAGTTTTATATAAAGCTAGACTGGTTGGCTTACTTTCTTGAATTCAAAAATAATCTTGAAAGTATGAACAGTTAAAAACCTACACGAAAATAAAAGCACTTAAGAAAGTCAACTATACATACATAATACAAGGTTCACGTGAGTTTAATAGTCATTCTTCTCACCAACAATTACGAAAGAAGCAACCACAGAGGCAGAGAGATAGTCATTGCAACAGCATATCCACCAAGAATAAATTAACTAAGTAACACAAGTTTCACAATAAATTCATTTGAAATAGTGTCTAGTGAGTTGCAACCCACAGTACAAAAGCAATAACCAGGTAACAACACAAAGGTTGCTGCATGGGGTCACTGATATTCCTGCTAAGAACTGGTTCCTGACCTTATCAATCATGAATGTTTCCTAAATTTATACCTAAGAATGTACCATCACTGGGAGGAGTTACGGTGGCAAGAAAAGCTTTAAGTAACTAGATATTAAACTGGCTGTCTAATGTAAGTCTGGAGTTCCTGGGTGGCGCACTTGACTACTAGCTGAAAGGTTGGTGATTTGAACCCACTCAGAGGAACCTGGGAAGACAGACCTGGAGCTCTGCTTCTGAAAGGTCACAGCCTGGAAAACCCTATAGAGCAGTTCTACTGTGCACACATGTGGTCGCCATGAGTCAGAATCAACTTGACAGACACTAACAACAACAATATAAGTTACTGATCCACTCCTCTTGTAGTGAAAAAAAAAAAGAGAACTAAAATTCATTAAATATCTATTTGTACTAGATGCTATACAACATGCCCTTTTAAAAATTTTGATAAACTTAAAAATTCAGAAAGGTACAAAGAGTAATGTAACAAACATACTCACTACTTAGAATTAATCACTGTTTATATTTTGTCATGTGTGCTTCAAGCTTTTGAATCAGTGAGCAAATACTGATTAATAACCTTCTATATGCCAGGCACAACGCTAAGCCTGTGAAAACCAGTGGTAAAATCTTTATGGAGCTTATAGTTTAGTGTAGGAGAAGTACCTTAACAAATAAATACTTCAACTCTTCAAAGCACTGTGAAGGAAAAATACAGAAAACGCAAATAAAGAAAATGAACATCATCAATAATCACTCTGCCCAGCATGCCATTGTAAAATAAAATTGGTAAAAATGGGACTGGACCTGAGCAGGTCCATTAAGGCACACTTAAACGATATGAGCAGGTGGCTTAGACTCCACGTTAACAGCTCCTACTGCTTTGCTACTTCAGCCCACATCTATGGCCTCATGGAAAGTTCCTTATGACCAGTTAATTACTTGCTATATATCCTCCAGACTGTCCTCTCTTCTCTCCTCCCCTGCCCCCTCATTCTGCGTGTGTGTGTGCGTGTGTGTGTGTGTAAAAAACCAAACCTGTTGCAATCGAGTCGATTCCGACGCATAGTAACCCTATAGGACAAAGTAGAAATGCCCCATAAGAGTTTTCAAGGGTGTAATCTTTACAGAAGCAGACTGCCACATCTTTCTCCTGCGGAGTGCCTGGTGTGTTTGAACCTCCCACGTTTCGGTTAGCAGCCAAGCGCTTTAATGACTGTACATCACCAGGGCTCCATGTATATATATATATGTACACATATATATGTGCATGTGTATATTCCACTGCTATTTATAAGGTTTTCACTGGCCAATTTTTTTAGAAGTAATTACTTTCTAATAAGAAAAACAATAAATGTTGTTTTCACAAAGGAAATCTATATGAATATAACATCAGTTAAAAAAATACAACACACTATAATGGAGGTTGATGTAAAGTGGTATCAACTAACTAACCCTTGGCTTGGCACAGGCAATGAAAATTCCATGGAAGAGACTAATATTTGAGTGTGCCTTAAACGTGAACGAGTTAGGCAAGTGCAAAGAACAGTATTTAGGGCAGAGATAACATACCCATGTGCAAAAGCAAGAAAGAACATGGTGTGCCTAGGAAACCCAGAAGAGTAACTTATATTATGTCCAGGGGGCAAGCTGAATCAGCAGATAAAGCTATTAAGATAAACTGGAACTAAGATAAACATGGATAACATGTCTCCCTACCAAACTCGAAAAAGTTTGCACTCTATCCCAGAGGGAGCAAAGAGAGGTTTTTTGGGTTTTTAAAACTAATTTTGTTGTTGTTGTTGTCGACAATATACACAGCAAAACATACACCAATCCAACTGTTTCTGTATGTACAATTCAGTGACAATGATTACATCCTTCAAGTTGTGCAACCATTCTCACCCTCCTTTTCTGAGTAGTCCCTCCTCCATTAACATAAACTCACTGCCTCCCTAAGATTCCTATCTGACTCTTCGAGTTGTTGTTTTCCATTTGACCCCATACAGATACTTCTTAAAAGAGTATAATGCTCAAGGCAGGCATTTTTAATTAGTTAAGCTAAACTATTGTTTTTTTAAAAAGACTTCAGGAGATATTTTTGGTTTAAGGTTTAATGATTATCTCAGGGCAATAGTTTCAGGGGTTCATCCAGCCCCCTTAACTACAGAAAGTCTGTAGTCCATGAGAATTTGAAAGTCTGTTCTGCACTTTTTCCCTTTTGATCAGGATTTTTCTATAGACTCTTTGATCAAAATGTTCAGTAACGGTAGCCAGGCTCCAACAAATGGAGGTTGTGATGCAAAGAAATGATTAAAAAAAAAGAAAGAAAGAAAAAGAAAAACAATTAAGATAAGGCTGGAGATGGTAGCAAGAGGACGAAATAGGACACTACTGCAATAATCCAGATAAATGAAGATGAGGGCTTGAACTAAGATGGCTGTGAGATGGTAAGAGGGAAGAAAAGAAGACATGAATTTGCCCAATTTAAGAGAGATTTCTATGATGAAAGAACACATTTCCAATAGGTATATGTCATGCAAAATATAGTCAAAAGCATGCAAATACATAACTGTTATTCTCCTGAGAAACTAACAAAATGTCAGAAGTCTTAAGAAAGTTACCTGCTTTCTTTCCATAAAAGAAAGGGGTAACTTTAAATATGCAGTGTCTTCATTATAAATATTCCTTAGACAAGTTTTTCATTATCAGTAAATAAGATACTTAGCATGATGGCTGGCACACAGTAATAAACCAGAAAACCAAACCTATTGCTGTGAAATCGATGTGTTACAGAGTGGAACTGCTTCATAGGGTGTTCTTGGCTGTAATCTTTACGAAAGCAGATTGCCAGGCTTTTCTTCCATAGCACCACTGGGTGGGTTAGAACCACCAACCTTTAGGTTAGTAGTTGAGTGCAAATCACTCAAGGATGTTGACACATTGTAAGTACCAATAAATATAAGCTGCTATATTAATATTGTTGTTTATAATAGTAACAAAAGGAACTCACTTTTCCTGGAAACCCACCCACATATTCTGTAATTAACAGTCAGTGGTTCCTCCTTGAAACTCCTTGGCATGAGTTCTCAGAATTTATTTTTTCCTGCTGCCTGGGACACATGAAATTTCATCAGATCTGGCTGTTGAAGGAACGTTTAAATAGAAAAGGAAGTACATAAAACCATCTAACAGTATTAGGGAGATCACCAATGAGGATTTTGGACATGTCTGTGCATAGAGTAGGGCCCATTATCTGAAATGAGTAACTAATTATATCTTCTTATTTCTTGTCAAAAAGACACTCCATTAAACTCCTGCTGCAAAGTAGCGGACTACAAAAAAATGTTAAATACTATGTGCAAGGGGACAAATCTTTTTTCAGTAGATTAGAACAACAGTTCTCAAACTGTGGTCCATGGACCTTTTCAAGGGGTCCTGAAGTCAAAACTATTTTCTATAATACTAAATGTCAACTCACTGGGTTGACATCTGCATTGATGACACAAAAGCAATGGTGGCTACAACTGCTGGCGCCCTTACACAAATCAGGACGGTAGCATCCAAACTATACTATAGTCATCATATCCTTCACCGCCACCATACAATCACAGTTAAAAAAAAAAAAAAAAAAAAAAGCCAATGTCCTTGGTGAAGCAATACAAATTACTATTTGTGTTAAATCTCAACACCTGAGTACATATCTTTTTAACAGTCTCTGTAATGAATCGGAATTGGAATTGACTCTATAGCAACTGATTTGGTTTTTGGGGTAAGGAAACAGGAATTTGAATAAAGAACTTCTGCTAAATACCAAAGTAAGACAGTTGTCTCAGGAAAAACACTTGTGTGACAGAGCTATCTTTTTCTCATGGAACACCATTTTTACTTAAAAGAAGAACTGACAGGTAAACTACGACAATTCATTCTTGAGCACTTGGAAGATATTTTCCTGCAAATGTGCAAAAGGAGTCTGTTACTTCAAGGAAAACAACTGACAATGTTTGTTGCCAATCATAAAATTTCAGCTATCAGGCAAAACTTAGAATTCTGTAAAACCTGCATCTCCCACCATGAGCCTGACAGCTTCCCAATTCTTAAAGACTTTTCCAGAGGTGGTATTAACAAATGTGGTTTTCTGATATTATATAAGGAAATATGTCACCACTTGGATGAATTGCATAACTCAGCACACCAATATTTTCCAAATGACTCATGCATGATGTTACAAAAAATCCATTCAGAGTGCAAAACAGACCAAAGGATTTTAATGTGACATAGTAAGAAAAGTTCAACGATACAACCTCAGATTTCACATTCCAATTATCCCTAAGAAACTACCACACATCAAGTTTTGATATATTTTTAAAGGAGAACATCCACAATTATCTGAAAAGGCTATTAAAACACTCCTTCCTTTTTCAACTACACATGTCTACGTAAAGCCTGATTATCTTCATATGCTTCAACGAAAACCACATATTGCAACAGATTAAATGCAGAAGCGCATGTGAGATTCTAGCTGACTTAGCTGACTTCTATTACACCAGACATTAAAGAGACTTGCAAAAAAGTAAAACAATGCCACTTGTATCACTAAACTTTGTTTCGGAAAATAAAGTTATTGTTCATAAATATATGTTATTTATGTTAACATACAATAGGTTTGGAAACCCTGGTGGTATAGTGGTTAAGAGCTACGACTGCTAACCAAAAGGTCAGCAGTTCGAATCCACCAGGCACTCCTTGGAAACTCTATGGGGGCAGTTCTACTCAGTCCTACAGGGTCACTATGAGTTGGAATTGACGTGACAGTAACAGATTTGGTTTTTGTTTTTGTTTTTTTGGTATAATAGGTTTATTGTTATTTTAAATGAATTAAAACAAGTACTTTAAGGTTTTTTCCCTGTTTTAATTCTAATATGGTAAATATTGATAGATATAATACACACAAACAAAAGCTCTTCAGGGTTCTCAACAATTTTAAGAGTGGAAGAGAGTCCTGAAACCAAAAAGTTTGAGAACTGGAGAGCATTAGGCTAACACACTTACCACAGTCTACCACAGGGTCAAGACAATCCTCTTCTATTCAGTGACTGCCCGAATTGGGGGTGGGAGTAGGGAACGGAAGGTGTTTTCCTTAGCAAAGTTCCCATAATGCACTTATGTCTCAAAGGTGTCCATTTAGTGGGACAGTTGTGAGAAAGCCTGGAGGGGTAATTCTATTAGTCTTTTTCATGGCCCTTGACCACAGTAATGGGAGAATAAAAAGGAAGGATAAAACCATGAAAACCCTTAATGCAGCTCCAGAAGCTTGAGCTTTTGTACAACAGTACCAATGGATGGTACCTGTGTAAAAGAT